AGGAAGTCCATGGGTTTTTGAGTCCCTTCCAAGGTAGCAACTTCTGGGGTAGGAAAGTGCTCTGGGGACTGAAAGCGAGTGTCAAAGCAAGTCAGAGCGTGAAGAGGGGGGGGGGAAGACATAGGAGAAAATGTGGGGCAGACGTGAAGGGAAGGCAGCCAACAGGGGAGGGCTGGTACCTTGCCATGAACCGCTTGCTCTCCTAGCTCCGTAGGCTTCAGATGCACAGCAGAACTCTCCCTGGCGCTGCCTCCCAAAAACCTGCCACAACACATATAACCACACAGACAGACCACCACAGTGCACGCCTATGCGTTTTGGTTCTATCCAAGCAGCACCGTTGCAAACAAACCCACACCGACCACAGTGACCTACCAACTTTCCACACAGCGCCACTAAGTGCCCTCTCAATCCACCGCTGTGGATCCTCGCCTGCCGGAGCCACGGGGGACTCTGTGCGCACACCTGTTTCGGTGGGAAAGCCAGCTCCAGCTCCACCCGCAAGGTGTCTGTCTGGTGCTGTCGCCTTTTCCACAGGTTTCTAGGCTGGGCTGCGGCTGACACACACACACACGGAAGCCCAACCCAACAAGCCTTGCTTGTGCCCACAAGATCAAAAAGCGTGGGTGGCCTCTGGTAATTCTTCATGCATAGCAGCAGCAGCAGCAGCAGCAGTGAAGTGGGGCCGGGAACCACCAGCGCAGGTCCCTACAGAAAGGGAGCAAACCACTAGAAGTGCAGCAAGAATGGATGCAAGGGAGAAACTGTGGACGGGTGGGGGTGTGCATGTGGGCGTGACAGAGAGGAATCTGGAGAGACCACAAGAAAAGGATCTCTCATAGGATCACAGGCCTGACCCACCACCACCACCATCCCACCCTTTGGAAATGCCCTCCCACCCTCCAAAACACCACACTGTATAGGAGTAAAGAGAGATACTGTAGAGATAATCACAGTGTTTGTTATATAATCCAGGCAGACATTAAGCACTATTTGCTCATCTATAGCAAACAGTCCCATTAAGGGGAGACAGGCACTAATCCCCCCCTACGCTGTTTGAAGGGAGGAGGGGCAGACGTGAACAACACTGCTAGGGGATTAGGATCATGTGATGCCACGGCTCTTCCTCCTCCCTTCCAGCAACCCCATCCTTTTTAGCTCCTTACCCACACACACAGCCTAAAGCCTCTGGGGAGGAAGAAGACGGTTGTGGTGGCTGCGGGACACCCCTCTCCCTCTCCCTCCTCGTCTTGCCTGCCCCCTCCCCGGGCACAAACACCACTCCGTTCTGAACAGACGAAGCAAGTCGCAGACACCCACACTGTGTGACAGGGAGGCAGCCAGGCGTGTTGGGGCTTGTTCCAGAGTCAACAGCAGCAAGCTTAGGGGGTGAGGAGACGGACACCCACCTCCCCAAGGCAACTTGCCCTACAAGGCCTCTTATAATCATACAACGCCTTCTCCCGTACTTATCCAGCCCCGTCTTCTGATTCTTGAAGTAACTTTCTGAAAGCACCCAGCCAGCATAGCCAGTGACCCTGTTGGCTGTGGGATACTGCGAACCCGTCATAAATAAGAGCAACTTTCTAAATGTTATCTGAAACATCCACCCACCCACCCAACTGCTCTATAAAGTAATCTCCATGGGTAGATTCCCTTCAGATCACAGGGGACATGGGAGGGGGGCTTGAGGGGAAAGTATGCCGAAAGGATTGGCAAAATCAGCCTGAGGTGATTGTTAGCACAGTGACTCCATGAACATGACAAATGGTGGGTGGGTGTGGCACTTTCACCACACAGGCTCACTCCCTACTATTTCACCATCCTCATTCCATAGCATTTGTTGACTGGTTGGTAAAATGTGTACAGTACCAGAACTTGTCTACATAATTTATTAAAGTAAACTAATAAATGCTTTAACAATAGAAGAACTGTGCGCAGGTTCTGACACAGCCTGATGCCGTCTCTGCTGGAATCTACGGCACAGACAATATTTACACCACATTTAATCTGGGATAAAAGGATCATCCAAAATATTTTAACTTCATTGTTTTTAATCAAGCACGGAGATTTTATTAAGCTGCCTGTTTAGTAAAAAGTGGAACCAACACGTCGCCCTCCCATTAACATGCCAGAAACAGAGGAAGCCACCAGCACCACAAGATTAGTGTTGTCTGCAGTGAGAGAAGTAGACATGACACCATCTTTCCTTGATCGAGTACTTTACAACCATGATCCACTACAACTCCCATCACTCCAAGCTAATTTTGCTGCTGTGGTAGGTTGGTGCTGTAGTCCGACACATCTGCAGGACATAAGGCCCGGTAGATTGTGCTCATCGTAAAAGTTGTCATGGCTGCCATCCTCAAGACAGGCAGACAGGCAATTATGCTGAAATATAGACAACTTTCTATAGACAAATATCGACGTAGACAAGCATACAGCCATAAACACTGGTTCAAGATTTCCCAGGCATTTCATTTTCCAGCACCAAGGGGGACTGTGTCCCAAGTTACACATGCACTGCAGCTAAAAGCAGAGGGAACATCGGTGGATGATGTTGGGATTCCTATGAAATAAAAAGTCCACAACTTTGCAAGCCCTGGTTCGACTCTAAGCACTGCATGACAAGAGTTTTCTGTGATTTCAAACAGGGAACTGGAAGTGGGACCCTTTTTGCATGAAAAACACATACTTTACTACAAAGCTACAACCCCTCTTTACCTTATTTCAGCCGGAACACTAGCCCCCTTCCACCCATGTTCACACAAAAAGCCCTCAGTAACGAAATCTTTGTGTTCAAGGGATCTGCCTCATGTGTATTTCACACCTAGAACTATTAGAGAGGGAACTTAATTCAATCTATGACTTGGTTAGAGAAAACAAAACAGTGCTTATCTTGTGTTTCACTTTTACTTGTTTTAAATTGTTGGTGAAACCTAAGCGCCTCTGGATACACCAATCCTTTCTATTTCTCTAGAGCTCTGCAATGGTAAGGTAAATGCACTCTGCACTTTCTCAGGGACACCTCCGTCTCTTTTTACTCTCCTATTTGTCACTCAGCCTGAACCCTGGCACTGCCAGGAGACGCCAGAACACTGAGCTTGGGCACAAATTAAACCCTAGGGAAGAGGCCCTTCTACTAATGAATCAGACATGCCCCTACCCTCTCTAGGAGGAATAAGCACCACTAAGCTCAGCAAAGGATGAAGAAGCTGGCATTCAAGGAGGGGCCCTTCCTCAAATTTCTCACTGACACCAAGAGTCCCTTTTCTTAAGCGACTAGCTAGGCAAGGGCATAAACAGAAGCAAGCTGAGAACCCACCAACAACAACCTGCTTGCCCCAAACAACCCATCTTTAGGGTTTCTTTCCTCCAGAAGATCAACCAAATGGCGGCAGGTCAGCAGTCCTACAAATTAATGCCTTGGTGGGAGACAACCTGGAATGTATTCTCAGGTCGGTATGGCACATTCCTTGCTCTGTCCAACAAGGGCTTGGCCGGGCATGCCCAAGACTCTGCCTCCGCTTTCCATGCTTCCATAAAAGTAATCACAATGGCCTCGAAGTCCACACCCTGCCCCTGTGCACCTGTTTCCCAAGACTTCTCTGGAGAATCTTTCACTCAACCCACAAAAAAAACTGCAGACCAAGAGAACAAAGCATCGTGCTTTTGGTGCCAGGGTCCCTTTGAGAAAGGTGAAGGCAGAACCCGGAGAGAGCTGAAACATCCCCTCGGCTTTCACACACCCCTCCCCACCCCATCTTTCTTCTTCCAACCTCCCAAGTCTTACCACCATTCTCACGTCCTCCTTCACTTTTCCCACATCCTAGCTCAGCCGCACCCGCCCTTCCAGCGCATTTATTTCCCCTTTCTTAAAACAACAACAGCTATCAAGAACTAGGGAGTACAAAGGAGGAGGGCAGAGAGCAGATAACAAGTGAGGGGTGGAGGAATCCAAAAGTGGGATGCGGCTGAAAGGACAAGAAGGGGAGAGGTCGCCGGGGGGGGGGGGATAAAAAGACGTGGTGACAGAAGCTGAAGGGGGAAAGGCGTGCGGAGCGCTGGAATGACCCGAGAGAGAGAGAGAGAAGAGGGAGGGAGGGAGAAGCAGGCAAGAAAAGAGGAATCGGGGTGTGGGGCATGCTAGGGAGACTGGGGGCAGTGCAGACGTTTTGCAAAGGAAAAGGGACTTGCTGGAAAGGCAAGACGGCGCAGGAGCGTCCCTAAGGTGGGATCCTGGGGCAAGGAGAGGAGAAGCGCCCTGGGGAGAAAGGCGAAGGGTGAGGGAAGGAGAGGAGAAGCGCCCTGGGGAGAAAGGGGCGCTCGGGCTGGTAGTTCTTAGGGAAGGAGCAACAGGGGGAGGGGGTTGGCCCCAGGCACCCACAGCGATGGGAGGGAGAGGAGGAAAGAAATAAAGATGTCAGAAAGAGATCAGAACCGGGCGCGGGGGCGGGGAGATGCGGCCCGACCCCAAAACATCGGCTCCGGAAGCCCCTCTCCCTCCACACCCCTTTTGTTTTTGCTCCACTGATGCGCTTTACCTGGCGAGCCAAGTTAAGAAGGAACTTCAGTCGCCCGCGGCCGCTCCGCGCAGCCCGCCAGCCACTCCCGGAGCAGCGGCACCGATTGTACCCGCGGCCACTCCCCCACAATGCACCGCTGCCAACTCCGAAGTGACTCCCTTCTCTTCTCCCGCGGCCGGTTTTCCAAGCCAACCCGCCCCCTCCCAAAGCCCAAAGGCCCGTCGGGCGCTGGAGGCTCTAAAGCGCCCCCTGCCGCCCGAAGCGAGCTCAACTCAAGCCCGGCGATTCTGCTTTCCCACCCACGGAAACTCCTTGCTTGGATTTTTCTTCTTCTTCCAGAAACGGAATCAAACCAGATGAGGTCCGAGCCGGAAAACGAACAGCCGGTGCCCGCTTAGAGATGCCTCCATGCCATCCAGTGTGGAAAGCGGGGCCATACCCTTCCTTCCCACCCCACCTCCTGCAAAGCCGGGTCCCGAAGAATCGCGGCTGCCACCTGTTCCTTTATAATCTGTATGGCGCACATTCGAGCAGGCGAAACTCAGATTTTTAACCAGAACAAACCCAGTTTCCTGATGGTTGTGCCTGATCCGGTATCGGGGAGGGGGGGGTAAGCGCTGCAAAGGGAGCCTTGGGGCAAGAGAGGGTCCAAACCGCACGCAAGCACCCCGCGCCGTGAGGCAGAGCGGAGGCGACGTTCCCTCAGCGGGAAAAAAGATAGCAAATGGCTGTTTTATGTGTCTGGATTTCTGCACTGCCAGAAGTATGGAGGTCTTTGAGGGACCGTCGTGGGATCGAAATAATTGGGGCTGACATTTGGACATAAAAACCGACAACTTAAAGAACTGATTTTCTGTTGGGAGGGCACGGAGTACGATTTGTGGTACTGCCTCAGGCTGCAAAATGCCTTGGGACGACCAGGGAAAAGGCTGGCCGGCC